TATATATATATATATATATATATATATATATTTTTTTTTTTTCTTCTTTCTTTTCTTTTTAAAAAAATAATCAACTGCAATTCTAACCGACCAAACTGCATCCAAGAATGTCTCTAAACAAATGAACCAAAGAAACATGATTAAATTCTCCTATTGAAGAAACCAAGAGTTTTTGTCAGCCCTACTGCTTCTGAGGATTAGGCCAAGCAGCCCATTCCCAAGGTTGGTTCTGTCCCCCACCCAAGTTTCTCATCTCAAGAGGAGGGCTGGGAGTGGAGGTGGGAACGGGGAACCTGTCCCCTCCTCCCATATGCTGGGAACTCTTAGGAAGTTACCGGTAGGGTAAGCCTCTCCTCTCATCCCATAAATATTAATTGTATCTTTTACTATAACCCTATAAGGCAGGTATGTATTATTAAACCCACTTTATAGAGAAGGAAATAGAGGCTAAGAAATAAGGTAAATAACTTGCCCAAAATGACACAGCTACTAAGCAGTAGAGGTCTAGATCTCTTTGACCACAAAACCCACATTCAATTACATATGCTGCTTCTCTTTCCTATGCTTTCCATTACTATTTAAAATTATTGCACAGAGCACATGCACATTCAGATAATACATTACTTTTTTCTTATTTAAAAGGCAAGAAATGATAATTAAACTGAACAAATTGATTAAACTGGTAAACTGATAAAAGAATCCTCAATCTTCAGATAGTTTAAAACAACTTAAATTCAATCCTAGATTGGTTATGCAACCATCTATTTCTCTGACTAAATGGCTAATATATATCTACACAATATATAAAATTCAGATGAATACAACCCACCAAATTGATAAATATTTTAATAACTTGATAACTTTGTAATATAGCAGCTAAAATATTGTAAGGCTCATTGTACAATAGATATTGTTAACCGAGGAGATTTAGACTATAGTCTAATTTTTCTGAGGACCTACAGCCTTATATCATGTAAATTTTTATATTTCATTAGTTGACATTTTTACCAGATTACTAATTTGGTCAAATACTTTATTATTAAATACAAATAGGATTAGCTTTGCATTTATGTTATAGAAAAAATGGACTTTTATAATGTACCACCACAGGAAAAGTGTAAAATGTAATGTGAAGTGAAAATGGTAGATTTTAACACTGAAATAATTACAGAAACATCATGTAAGGATGTGAGAAGTAACTAGAAGGAAATACAGAAAAAGATTTGTTGGGACAACACAACTGGAAGTGACTTTATTTCATTTATATCTTGTTCTATCAAACAATAAGATTTTAGAAAGCCACAAAACCTGCATTTACTTCAGTAATGCTGCCCCCAAACCAGCAACCAACTTGTCAAGTGTTTAAATATGTGGGCTGTAATAGCATACTTACATAAATACATGTACCATCTATTTTATGTAAAGATAATTGAAGAGGTACTTGAAAGTTACAGGGATATGTTCTTCAAGTTTCTTCATCTTCTTAAGATAGTCTCAATAGGAAACTAAGTTTTTGGAATTATTTTTAAGCATTCTTTTCCATTGTCATGACTACTTAAGTTCGCAAAATATTAAAAATCCACCTCTTCTGAAATTAGTGTTTCCTGTATGAAGATAATGCCACTTGACTCCACTTACAGCAATGGCAAGCAAACATTTCAGATTAATCCCTAAAATAGCTGGGAGTCCTATTATGGAATTGCACATGAAAAAAAAATAGCAACTGTGCCAATAACTGCAGGGCACCCAATGTGATCAACTCCCTGATCTGAATTGTCAACTTACTTCTTTCAGAGTCCAAGATGGAATCGATTTGCACAGTATAAAAGGCCCTAACTAAAACACTTTGCGTCGGAGTGGTCAAACACTGCTCCATCTGAATTCTGGGAACATAATCTCCACCCCCACTCTCTCTCCATTTAAAAAAGGAGGTCAGCAGGTGCAACAGAGTTCAATTTTATAAATACTTTCCTAGGATAATGCTCAAGGAAAGGATAATAGCCTTATATCTGATGGTATTCTGGGACACAGGCCAGTACTAAATAGATCCTGTACTAAATAGATTAAAGGAGAAAGATCTTTACAATGTGCTAGTTGTAACAATCAGAAGAAACCTTATACTGCTTCCTGCTCGAAGGGCTGATGGACAGAGAAGCCTCAATAAAGAATATTAAGACAACCCAGTAATGGCAAACATTTTACAGTTGCTGTTTTTCTTTCCATGCTTATTAGCTAATGCATTTTCAGTGAACATTTTTAAGGTAGTATCTATCTTTTTTTAAAAAAAAATAATGGAAGTATAAGCAATATTAGCACAAGAGATTTGATTATAAGTTTTATTTTCTAATGCAAAGAGTAGGGGAAAAACATACTTGAGTAATGAAAAGTCTAAAACAAGAAACAAAAAGCTTATCTAAACCATACTAGAGGCAATCCATGCAACTCAGCCAATGTTATTCAAATGCCATCAAAATGAATGATCTTAGGAATCTAACGCTTGTATATACACATTTATCTCAGTAAACGGTTTCTATAGCTCCCAGAATGTTTAACTACCACAATTTTTCAAATGCCTTATAATATTCAATCATTTATTCTGTAGCTCAATTCACTTATAACTCCCCTAAGAGGTTCTGTTTCCATCACCACACTCTAAACATTACAGATGGGGGGAAAAATTAATACTTCCACCGCCTCATGAACAATCACTAGCAAATTTAGAAGTAGAATTCTTCTAGGCCATAATGCGTCTTCTGTGTCATTCCTAATAATCATAATCAGACAAATATTCAATAAGCTCCTGGGCAAAAGATATATTGTTCCATAGATATCCCAAAACAACGTATTTTTTAAAACCCCAAAACATTTCTATCACCCAGTCTCCAAATCTGTTCTGCCTCCTTCCACATATTTTCAATCCTGGTTAATGGCTCCATGAAATCCCCAAGATGAAATGTGGAAGTCGTCCTTTCTCTTCTTCTTTATCTCCTGTCCTCCCATGCCATTCAAGATATGCAAGATAGTGCCTGGAGTGGTTCAGTGGTTGAGCGTCAACCCATGATCCAGGATTGATTCCCAGTCAGGGCACATGCCCAGGTTGCGGGCTCGATCCCCAGTAGGGGGCGTGCAGGAGGCAGACGATTAATGATTTTCATCATTGATGTTTCTATCTCTCCTTCTCCCAAGAAGCACCCAGTAACCAGCTGGTGGTGTGATATCAAGCCAACCACTAAGTAGCACATACTAGGTACACAATAAATATTTGCTGAGTGAATGAATTTTTGACATATATGTGCAAGACTTCTATGTACTGTGGAGGATAAAGAGGAGTGTGACTGTCTACTGTGATGCAATCTCCTTAAACATGAGGACTACACCTTGTTTTTGTCTCTTTGGCACATACTTAACAAGTACTAATTAATTTTTTGTAGAATGAGGAATTAGTTTAAATTGCATTATCAAATGTAAGAATTTTTCCCACTTTTTAAAAAACTGAATTGACTGGGGTGACTGGTTAATAAAGTTATATAGGTTTCAGGTGTGCAATTCTACAATACATCATCTATATATTGCAATGTGTGTTTATCACCCCAAGTCAAGTCTTCCTCCTTCCTTCACCATTTATCCCCTCTATGCCCTTTTCTACCTCCCTTTCCCTCTGGTAATCACCATGCTATTGTCTGTGTCTGATTTTTTTTTTTTTTTTTACTTAACCCTTTCACCTTTTTAATTTTCCCACTTTTCAACAATCATGCTTCCCTTGCTGATCTCTGACTGGGAGTCAATCAAATCAGTTGATAGGGTTGATTATTTCATTCATTATAACTGATATCAAGTCTAATCTTTTGATTTCAGTGTACCAAAAAAAAAAAAAAAAAAGAATCCATACTAACTCTGTGGTTTAAGTTATATTGTCACTGATTAGTTAATGATAATCAAAAGTATTGTTAATATCCACAAATTTTATCTAAATGGATCACATAATCTTTCAAGATTTTCAACTACAAAGCGATGATCCTCGAGAAAGCACCAAGCTGCACGGCTCTGCTAAAATCTGAACGTGGTCCAAATGGCAGGTCACAAAGCTCTCAAGATGTATCCAAACTACAGTACATCGAAGAAGCACTCTTCAATGGGAGTGCTTTCTTACAAGCTATCAACGGGGCACAGACAAAGGGAAAAGAAAGTTTCTGCCAGTTTCCTACTAGGTTACAGAAAACAAAACATACATTATAAAACATTTGGATAGGAATAATGCAAAAGGTGATAAGGAATTCCACGTAAAATATTAGCACCCTAACTTAACTACAGGTTATCCTCATCTCTAAACTGTTGTTTAGAATTCAGATTGCAAGTGGAAAGGATAAAATGACATGCAAAGCATCTGGCACAGTGCATGGTACAAAGCAGGTGCCAGTACGTGGTCTGCTCAGACACAACGCAGGGCTTACGTAGGATTTATCCACTCAGACTTAGATGCCCATGATAACAACGGGGCCCTGGAGTAAAGTGAAGGGTGGTCTACTGGCCAGAGGTGGTGGTCGGCCAGAATTCGCGAAGGGAGAGAGGAGGGGAGAACTGGCGGAACAGGCATTATCTTCCCTTCCCTTCGCCACCTGTCATGGTCTGGCTCGGTTGAGATGAAGTTAGCAGCGGCGGGAGAAGGATTATTTCCACCCCCTACAATGTACACATTATTTGAGTTTTCAACAATAATGATAATAAAGAGGACAGAAACCTGTTCAACAGAAACTGGAGGGAACGAAAGTTGATGGAATTCATGCTCTGCTGAAAATGAGCTCTCCCCGGCCCGTTGCAGTTTCTCTGTAGGGAATAAGATTAGGAAAGAGGAAGAACAAGAGGGCTAAAAAGAAAAAAATGGAACGAATAATCACTTGGAGAATATGTGTGAGAGAGATGAATGGATACATAAGATGAATTATTTAAGAGGTGAATAAAAAGAACTGATTTCACAGCAATTCTGGTTAGATTGAAGCTAAACAATTTACCTGCTGGTGGCAACTCACATGGATACAGAATTGAGCAAAGGCTATATAGTACGCTGAGAGAATGGGAAATCAGTAAGTGGCAATAGAGATGAAGGGGGAACTTCAACTTCGTTCTTTCAGGAAACATTTATGAATAGCTACTATGTTAAGTCCTATATTATGGCTGGGATATTCCGAGATGAAGAGAGTAAGATCCAGCCCCCAGGAAACTCATGTGCTACTGAAGGAAGATGATAAAACAAAGAAGTTTAATTCTCAGTCCTTGTGGTATTTGGCAACTTTCACTTTTTAAAGCAATTTTTAAATTATTTTAACCCCTAGCATCATATATTTGTGATAGTTGTATCACATATAAACTATGCACCATAATAATAAAATGCACATTTGTACATTTACCACCCAACGCACAAGAATTTATACTTTTATATTCACCTAAATCCTTCTGCTTGCTTTCCAAACTCTGTAATATGAGAGCATATTACATGACCAATCTAATTTCCAACTATTTCTTCCAAACTTTCTATTCTAGTCAGACATACTGGACAGAATGGTCTACAAATGTAAATGTCCAAGAAAACAGCTCCTCTTTTTATCTAAAAGAAACAAAAATTGAGGAAATATTCTATTTGCTTAATGAATGCATTTCTTACTACAGGAGCCAAGAGCTTTCCTTTATAAATTTTAAATAATTTGTAAAGGTAATAGAAGTTCATATGAATGAATGGTTGTAAGTGCTAAAAAGTACTTCCAAATGTTGTCATGGAAACATAAAATTCCCTGAAAAGGATGTATATAATCTTTTCATTCTGGTAAGAAAAATGTTATTTTATCTTGCACTTTAAAATAAGATTTACAATTATCATTTAAAACGAACTGTCATTCTTTCTCTTTCATGAACATTTTAATTGTGGTAAATACTCATGATAACAATTTACCGTATTAACCATGTTTAAGTGTACAGTTCAGTGGTATTAGGTACATTCACATTGTTGTGCAACCATCACCACCATCCATCTCCAAAATTCTTCATTTCTTGCAAAATTCAAACACTTCATGCATAACACAGCAACTTCTCATTCCTCTCTCCCCACCATGGCAACCACCATGCTACTGTTGCATTATTATTATTATTCCACCAGTGGAATGTAATAGTCTTCTGCCTCAAGTTGCTCTCTACTTTCAGCTCATGTTAATCCCTTGCTCAGAAGTCAGTGGTAAAAATAATAAAATGAAGGTGTATATGTCTTACCCAGGGGAATCATACAGTGTATTTGTCCTTTTGTGGTTGGCTTATTTCACTTAACATAATATCTTCAAGTTTTATCCATATTGTAGCAAAATACTATTTACCAGGCACTGTTCTACTCATTTCTCATGTATTAACCTCTTCGTAACAGCACTGGAGGTAGTTTAGGTACATATATCATTCCTACTTCACAGACGGGGAAACTGAGGCATGGAGAGATCAAGTTACTTGCCCAGGGCCTCCCAGCTTTTAAGTGGAAGGACCAATTTGTGAACCTGGATGATCTACCTCTAGAGCCCACACTCTAACCACTCGATGGCACCACCTCCCAGAGTACACTGTATTTGCTCACACTGTCTAAGATTTTAGAAAATCCCTTAAAGAATAACTCATCCCTCCCTAAGAAACCTGATAATGACAAGGCTGATAGTTCTGGCATCAGACTCAGCACATCAACATATCTGGGGATATCAAGTGGGAATAGAAAAAGAGATCAAGAGTGGTCGATGCCTCTTTATTCAATGCCCACCAAGCAAGTGTCCAGGATTCCCCATGCATCATCTCATTTAATCCTCTCAACAGCTTAGGAGGGGGAGCATTATTTTAAATACATACTTTATTAGATGAGGAGATCTAGGCTCAAAGAGGCTACACCTTCTGTCCCTCCTTACAGAGCCTGTCAGTGACAGAGGCAGAAGTAGAATCCAGATCAGAATAACCCCATGCCCTTCCCACTACCTAATGCTGCGGGCATTTAGCAGCGGACAGGAATACTGCCAGTCTGTAGAGTTTTTGCCCTCAGAAGTCTAGCATCCCCATCAGATAGACTATGGAGCCATGCTAGTGTGTGTACAGCTGTGTCCCAAGGCTGTTTCTCCAGCCGGCTAGAAGTTATAGCTGAGTCAACTCTTGTTCGAAGAAACAAGAGCTAGCCTATGCATCTGGGCAGGACTGTGGCAGCTCTGAGGACTCCTACACACAAAATACACACATGAAACCTCATGGAAGTTCAAAAACACAGGCTTTGGGGGCTATTATGATGTGGCCCTTTACAAAAAGAGGTTAAAAAATTCTCTAGAGAGAATTTTAATGAGGTTAGAAAACCATGAGAACAGAGCCAGAGTTCAGGAAATTGACTGCTTGTTTTCGCCGCTAATTCCCATATGTTTGACCTCAAAGTTTCTCAAAACTTCATTCTTAGAAAAATGGTTAAGACACAACGTAAAATTAAAAATGCAAAATACAAAATTATATACAATACACTGAAATATGGTGAAACTTTGGTTTTCACTTCATTATCTTTTCTCTGAACTTTTCAAATTTCCTATAATAAACATCGATTACTTAGGAAGGAACACCCTCCCACACACACACCCCAATTTTACCTGGAGTAGTCTAGTAATTCCCAAGTACTCAAATAGGATACATCAAAATCCCCTGAGATATTTGTTAAAAATACAAATTTTCAGTGTCCAAAGACCTACTCAGTCAGAATTTCCCGGTTGAGGTCCAGGAATCTGGAGTTTTAACAAGCTCCCTAGGTGACTGTAACATTTGTGAATCAAGGAAATTCTACAGTACTTTCAGGTCTCTTATTCTTTTTAAGACTTTTTTGATGACTTTTATTTTTAAACACCAGGCAAACTTACATTAGAATGCAAACACATAAAATTTAAGTGAGGATAAGTGACTGGGGTGTAGATTCAGATGCCTAAAGTCTCACCATTCATCTCTGCAAACTTCTGAACATCACTCAGGGTTTTCAGCTCTTGTCTTGGACATGCTGCTACGCACAGTGCTTCAGACTTGATCTTCCGGTTGATCAAGTCCAGATTGCACGGATCCAAAAAGAACACATACCTAAAGCATGGAGAAAAATATTGAGATACTATTTCCACAAAATACATTCTGGTTCACTGCACATCTGACTCAGCCTAAAAGCAAAGAACATCTATTCCATACTCCTCCACAAATTTAATCACAGATGTGGGAACATTTCACAAATCTAATCGCAGATAGGCTTTTTAAAGAAGAATTGCTTATAAATATACTGTTAAAAGCAGAAATGAAAGTAATTGTAGGGCTCCTTTTTCATGATCTATTTTTCCAAAATGAAAATTTGTCATGTGTATTTTATAATTAGAAATGATCTATTTTAAAAAATAATTGGTTTTAGTTTTATTTTTTTGTCAAACTTGTGCCCCCCTAAATTACTGGAATATAGCAATACTGTTATATAACATGAATTGTAGTTTATATGTAAACTTTAGTTAATGAATATATAATTATATATAAAATGTCTAATTATAAAAAACTAGAGGCCTGTTGCATGAATAGGCCTTCCCTTCCCCTGGCTGCCAGCACTGGTTTTCCTCCGGCACCCGGGACCCAGGCCTTTGCTCCGGCCGGAGCCACCTTCAGCCTACTTATGCAAATTAACTGTTGGCAGTTAATTTGCATATATCGCTGATTAGCCAATGGGAGGCATAGCGAAGGTACAGTCAATTACCATGTTTGTCTATTATTAGATAGGATAATATATAAAACTTTAGCTAATGAATATATAATTATAAAAATGCATTATAAAATTAAATATATAAAGTTGAATGAAGACTAGAAGGAAATATATGAACATTTTAACGACAGCCATTAATTTTAATTTTCTCTTTTACTTTTTAGAATTCTGATTGTCTAGAAAGAATGAAAATTATTTTTGAATTGATACTATAATAAATATTATTTATTACAAGAGTCCATTTCATCAAAACAAAATAATTCCCAAATTGTAAGTTATCCCTTTTGTATACTGTACATTTATATTTGAGAAAAGGAAAGATTAATCAGAAATTACATTAAAACAATTTTTTTAATGTTTCGAGGTAGAAGAGATGACAAAGATTGCACATGTTATCATTTGCCCAAAGAGACAGTAAGAGCCAAATCTTCTTAACTGAGAGAAGCAAAGCCTAATATTGTGGGTCAAGTGAGGGAGCACAAATAGAAATGCTCTCATGCATGATTATAGCTGAAGAACCCCCAAACATGTGTTCAATTCTATTGGGTCCACAGGAAAAGTTAATCATGCATCTGCCAATAGCCTTCCCCACACTGTTAAACTCCATTACTACATTACTATGCAAACTATGACTCAAATCAGGCAATATAACAAAACATAAGAATTAGGTGAGAAAACTGAAAAGCAAAACTATAAAACCAACTGAAACCTATAGAATTTTTCTAACCAATTCACCCTAATAAATGTAATTAAAAACATATAAAGAAAAAATTAAATAGAAAAAAACAGTATGTGTGTGGGGGATGGGATTAGAGAAACCCCTGCAGGTGGAGTACGCTGAACTGGCACGCTTCCGTAGAGCAGTGGACAGGAGCTGGCGGGGTGGGGTGAAGACGACACATGCAGGCATAGCTACAAACTGTGAAACTAAAATAAATAATTTTTGTGTAACTCTGTTAATGACTCTAGTACCATTCATGTTCAATGTAGATAAAAAGGAAAGGAAAGAAGCCAGGCAGAAAGATGTGGTTTGGAAGTGGGACTGCTTCTGTGGCTGATGACGATGAACCAGCACAGAGAAAACTCTGCCAACCTGTGTGTGGAAACAATCGCTCCCTTACTAATCCCTCTCCATCCTGTGCACCTTACTGAGCACGCCCATGCCTGGGGTACCGTGCAATGAGCCACACAAAACCAGCCCCTGGCCAGGGAACACACAGATCCTTGAGGAAGGTGTCATAAAACCTTTGAATCATTTACTACCACCACGAATAATACTATTATTTTAACAAAAAAAAAATAATAATGGTAGCTAACATTTGTTGAGTACTTACTATGTACTAGACACGTTATTAAACCCTTTACATATATTAACTCATTTATCCTCACAACAACCCTGTTTTACGCTTCTGCATGGGAATGTGGGGGTGGGCAGTGGAGCTGGGGTGGGGAGAGGTAAGTGGTAAGTGATGAGTGATGCCTTGGAAATGCCTGGAGAAATCAGGGGACAGCAGGATAGCAGGCGTGAGGAAAGGAGAGAAAGCCAGAGGCGTCCAGGGTCAGGCCACTGGGTCAACGACAGTGCCTCTCACAGCCTCCCGAGATCAGATGCCTGGTCTGACCGTCCTGCAGGCTTCTGCCCAACCTAAAGCCAAAAGCGCCCTCAGTATATTTCTAACTTCTTTCATACTTTAAAGCACATCCCCTGGATTGATAAGCCACAGTGACTGGGCAGCAGCCTCATATCTCACCTCAGACCCACCTGAGCTTGCTTTCTGGTTCTCTTTCTTAACAGTGGTCTGACCTTGGGAAACATATTTACCCTACTGAGCCTGCGCTTTCTTACATGTCAAACTGCCTAGCACCTATCTTACAGGTTGCTGCAATGTTGTTGGTAACGCACACAAAGCACCTAACATGTGTATCTATGCAGTGATCATATCATTGAGAAAACTAACTTTCACAAGTTTATATTTGATAGCAAGGCACTAAATCCAACACTTTCTGATATGGACACAAAACAGGACTAACTACTAATATTCAATTTCCGTTTGGAAGACAAGTCTGTGTGGAAGTGTTCATGCCAGTCGGGTGACTGGCCTTGGTAAGGACCAAGGTGGCCTCCAGAGCTGGTCCAGCACAAGGAAACCAGTGCAGAGGGAGAGAAGAATTCTACAGTGACTGTAACACTGTAAAATGGACATTGCACATTTTTAGCCTGGTTTGTAAGAATCAACTTCAACAGAACTAAAATAGAAATAATTTTAAGTGGTATCCTTAGGAAATACACTCACATACATAAACCATTACACTTAAAACCATCACCCACCTCCACAGTCAAAAAACATAGTAAACCTAATTACTTACACATTTCACATATTCCAAGGCACATACACACAACACATGTGTGCACACATCCACCCGATGTTTTGAATAATTTATAGGCGCTACAATCAGATTCTGTGAACAGTGATGGGATGTTTGGGTGCTGGGAACTGTCACATTCATGACTTTATTTGAGCCTCACAACAACTTTATGAGAGAGAGGCCGTCACCATTCCACGAAGACAGAACTGAGACCCTGAGGGACAGGCTCCACAGCCCAAGAAAGGCAGCAGGTGCCAGAGCAGGAATTAAAATCTAGTCTTTCTGATTCGGAGTCTCATTCTGTTTCTAAACTGCTCTAGTCTCAAAATATTTCCTACAAACAGAATTAATGATTTTAAAACTGTTCTATGTTGACTTTTTTAAAAATTAAATTTATTGGGGTGACATTGGTCAACATAACCTATGTTGACTTTTCATATTGTTTCCAGCATTCTGAAGTTTATCCACTCCATGGCCACATGTTAATAAGTAGTTATATTTTAATTAATTAGTATTTAAGTAAATATTTCAGAATAGGAAAAGTGCTTGCATCAAACAAATTTATGATTCATTAAAACCACACTTTTTTTGCATTTTGATTTGAAAATGTCCTTACCCAGGCAAACAAAGTGAACTATATGTGCAGTTTTATTTTTTTGAAATAAAACAAATACCCAACTCTCAAATAAGCATGGCACTGGCAGACCAGGCTGTTATAACTAACAAATCTACAATGAGTGTTTCTCAACCGAGAGGGCGACAGACCCCAGGTTAGAGGCTGTAAAACATTCTAGAAAAGTTTCTTAAAACTCTCAGCATACTTTCATTCTGCCTCCAGGAAAAGGGCTGGGAAAGGGATGGGGCATATGAATCTGAGAAAGCATCTCAGGCAACTCTGATCACACACATGCTTTGGCCCCTTGGCCCCGTCCTCTCAGCGGGGGAGACCCACTGCCACAGATAACTGAGGAAAGAGTACATTTTCATTGCTATCCTCACTAAATCTCTTACTAGACCTATTAATAACGTAAGTTAAGGGAATGAAGAAAAATGCTTGGAGTAAACTGTAAGGTAAACATAAAGGACGGCAGTTAAATATACACTGCAGTCAAAAAAAAAAGACAATAAAATAAAATAAAATAAAGCAAACAAAAAAAGAAACTAAGGAAAAAGAAAAAATATATTACAGTCAAAGTGGTTTCTGGGAATTTTCAAAGGGGAGAAAAAGATAAATTCATTTTAAATTGAAATTCTTGAAATACAATAAGTTATCCCCAAAAAGGCAGGAGAGGAGAGATATCTAAATAAAACGTCTATCTAGCCCCAGCTGGGTGGCTCAGTTGGTTGAGTGTCATCCCATGCACTAAAAGGTGGCGGGTTCGATTCCTGGTCAGGGCACATACCTACGTTGTGGTTCATTCCCCTTTTGGGGCATGTATAGGAGGCAACCAATCATGTCTCTCTCACATCGACCCTTCTCTCTCCAAAATAAATCTTTTAAAAAATGTCTGCCTACACAGTGAACACTAGGGGACAGATACACCAAAGATGAAAGCAAGACGACTGAGGAACGGAAGGGCACTACCTCACAGCAGCTCAAGAAAAGAGACAAGAGGCACAGGGACAAGACGGGTGACCTTTGAAGCTGTGCTCAGAGCGAGGAGATAGCACTGAATGATCTGATGTAGATAAAGATACACAAGAAGGTTCAAAACTAGAAACTAGTTTAAACTTCCATGTTGCTTTCACTTTCTTCCCGGAATCCAGAGTGAAGATAAAGAAAGGAAGATTTACCAAGAATTTACTTTGGGCCACAAGGAACCTCGGCGCTGCCCTCACACATCCTAATTCAACAAGAGAGAACTGAGACATACAAATTGGGCAACCGACTAGAACTGTGAGGGCGAACCTTTTGAGCTCGGCGTGTCAGCATTTTGAAAAACCCTAACTTAACTCTGGTGCCGTGTCACATATAGAA